GGAGGGCGAGAGGATTCACCAGAGACAGAGTGGGAAACAGAACAGGCAGACTGACTGAAATACACTGCTGAGGGGAGAAGCAGGCTAGTCAGGAGAGGTCTGCTGTGCCATGTGGGGTGTTCCCTGGCCAGCCAGTGATCGAACTTGTGCTGCAGATACTGTGGATTGCTTCATAGTGTGGTGCTTAACCCCTTGTGCCACCAGGGAGGCCCCCTGTTTTGTTTTTATTTAATATGTAAGTGAAAATAATGTTTTAATTTTCTCATGACCTCTGATTTATACCTTATTTTTTATAAATTTCAGTAGCAATAACTTCAGACTTCTACTTTTTCACAGGTGGAATGGAATAAGGGCTCAATTATACTTGCTATATCAGTATTTAATACTATTTCTAAGGCACAAAATGAACATTTATTTAATAATTGTTGTATTCATTAATGAAACCAACTAGAAAATCTCCAGGATAGCAAGTACAATTGGTTATATGGCAAAACTTATTCTATTTTATTGAGCCTATTTTTCTCTTCACTGAGAATGACAAGCTTTATATTTTCTTCTGTCCTAGATTATTGTACCAGCAAAGGGCTTTGTCTCAAGTAGGACCAGCATGATCTTAAAATATTGCCTTTAGAAACATACTTTTTTTTTTTCCTGCCTGAAATACAGCACTTATTGAAAATCTAAATTAAATACAAGTAGAAGTGCTTTTATGAAATTCTATTATGGCTTGGAATTGAAGTCTGATAAGAAAGCCCATCACAGGAGGCTACTAGATGGTAATTGATGAGCTACTGACATTTTAGGTTTTAGTCCTTAATGCATAGGAAAACCAATTATTATCCAAATGGCAACATATTTCTAAGTCTCTTATTGCTGAGAACCACATTTTCAATCATTCAGTTTTTGATTGTTCTATGGTTTTCTTTTCAGCCCTACTTACTGTTGTTCATTTGTGTGTATCCAAACTGTCATTTGTGCATATGGATAAATGATGACTCATTCTTGATCTTTCATTTTAAAAAATTTACTTTTTAAAAAGAATATAGTTTTCCTACAAGTGGTAGTGAGAGTTCATAGGAAGCAGTATCTTTTTGAAGTTATTCTTAAACAAAAATTGGGTCTATCTTAACACATTAAAATAAAGATATTTCCATCTATTTGATATATTAGAGATCTAGAAGAAAAGCAAAAATGAACAGGAAAATTAGAACTGTATTTCTCCAAATGTATACAAAGAATTGCTTCCTTGGGCTATTTAACTGTAGATTCCTGGGCTTTATCTCTATTGTCTCCTTAGTGTTTCATTTTCTTAAAATGGGGACTCAGACACTATATTAGTTTTTAAACTAAAGGTTAGAACCACTGATATTTGCCATACCTCTGGTTTTGTTTGTTTTCTCTGGTGGTAATTTGTTTGGGAAAATGATTTCAATATATTCAGACAAGTAGTATACACTTAGAAGTAGTCTGTGGTATTTTTCTACCTGTAATTTTCATCTTGAAAGCTAATATCCCAAGTTTATAAAATGTCAGGAAGGGTTAAAAGTTTAATAGGAATGTTAATGTTTTTCATTTAGTTGTTGGTGTCTCAGTAATCTGAGTCATTGTGTAATATAGATAAAAATTAACATTACTGTCACTTTACATTTCTTTATATGCCTGTCCTTTTATTAAATGCCATATATTATTATTTATCAAGTCTAGATGATATTGTATATAAAAAGTATTATATTAGTTTAAGACAAAGTCAAATTTATCAAGAAAGGATAAAATTAAACATGACCAAAGCATTAGTATGAAGAAAATTTTCATCAATTCTTAGTGAATTTTCTGGCTATCAAGAAAAAAAATATGTATGTGTACTTACTGTGTTGGTATTGCAATAGCTTAATAATTAGCCTTAAAATAGAGTCAGGTTTTGAAAAAGGTAATGAGGTGTTTGCTAGATTAATTAGGACTCAAGCAGGAAATAGCACAGATTATATAAATATAGCATATGACAAATGGTATAGCACATGGTCTTTTAATGCACTATTAAATTGCAACTGTCCTGGGTAAAAGAAATATACATAAAGACTGTCAGGAGAACTTAAAGTAATATATCATCTTCTCATAAATAATAGTTACCTGTCAAGATAGAACTGCTTTGTGTGCAATAATTCAAGTTAGACTAGTGTTTCGATTGCTTGTGTACCTGCATTGTTTCAGTATATATATTTTTTTGAATTCAGTTTCAGAAGCACTTAAGCCGCTACTTATTACTAACAATAAAAGCATATTCATGGTTTAGACAGGAAAGTTTTACAATTACATAATTAAAAAAAATATGCCATCCCAGGTTTCAACAGATTCTAGTTAAATGTTTTATCACCATCTTTGACACAATCTCTAGACACTGTGATAATTTGAATTTAATTATAATCATTTCATTTTACTCATTCTCCTTACATTTAATAATAGATTACTTTTATAAAATTGCAATTTATTAGACTGTTAACTCATTTAATCTTCACAATGGCCTTTATATCAAGATATGCTATGGGCCTCCCTGGTGGCACAAGGGGTTAAGAAGCAACCTGTGAGGCTGTCTGCAGCCTCTGTAGCACCAGTTCAATCCCCAGGCGACGAGGGAGCAACCCACATGGTGAGCAGACCTCTCCTGACTTACCCGCTGCTCCCCTCAGCAGTGTACTTGGGTCAGTCTGCTTGTTCCCCACTCTGTCTCTGGTGAATCCTCTCACCCCCCACACCTTTAGCCTGTACACCAGCTCTTGTACGCATAAATAAATAAATCTTTAAAAACAAAAGATAGGCTATAATGTTGTTTCATGTTGATGCTAATGTTACAGATAAAGGTTCAATTATTTACACAAAGTAACAGATCAAACATATATATCAGAGGGTGGATTCAAATGTCTTTCTTTTGTATTCTGAAGTCTTAGATATTTCTAAAACATTATATCCTTCCTTCATGTTTTATGTTTAGTAACTGGATAATAATTGTCAATAAAAGTGAAACTTTTAGAGATTTTGCTTATAATAATCTAAATAGCTTTACTAAAACTTGTGATTAGATACTGTATTGATTAACAGAAACCTAGAAAAAGAGAAACATGGAATAAATAAGGTTTAGAAATACATATTTCTCCAATGTGAGAAAAACTTTAGTGTGACAGAAATGTTAAATACATTTGTGATGTCTAAATTCATTCAGACTAACCCTAAATTTGTTCCACAAAGAGGACGAAAGATATCCCTTGTGCTATAGTACTGGTGTATATATTGTTAAGGAAACATTAATATCATTTTAAAAAAGTATCTATGCTCTATTGGCTAATGATGAAAGAATCCATTTTTTCTGAAATGGATTCCCTGGTTTCAGTGAGGATGATGAGGTCCCAGAGTAATAAAATAAAGTAGCAACACATAACAACCAGGGTGCTTTATGTGGTTGTCACAATAAAACCCAGAGCTAGTACAGTCACCAGGCAGCTAAGCCAAATAGCCAAATGTAATACTGACTGATTTATCATGATATACAAGGAGCGAAAATATGTCATTCATAACATGATCATATAAAACTCATTTCTGTTTTCACACAAACTCCTAATTTTTTAAAACAAAATAAACAACACTAAAATCTTGAGTCATTTTGAAAATTTATGGCCACTAATGAAATTACCTATTTTGTGTCAGTCCTCTGACCTGGAAGTCCCGAGTGAAAAGTACTCTATGCACATGGCTCAAAATTTTCAGCAAAAGTATTGATGTGTATTTTAAATCTCCCCCCTGGCATTTCCTGAAGGGACTCAAACAAGGTACCAGGTATCTGGGTATTATAACCAGGATAACTATACCAGGGAAAGGAAAGTAGTAATCATTTCAGCGTTTCAGCACTTCAGCAATATTGATAGCTCAAGACCCAGAATGTCATTTGGGCAAATTGAATTTGGCCTTTTTCAATATTTTAGTAAATCCAAGAGTTTGGAAAATACAACCTGTGGTTATTTTCCCAGTTTCTGAATATATATTTGGAATGTGTTAACAAAGCCTCTGACAGAGTCTTTCACTGGCTCTCTGATAAACATAAAAAGCTAGCTTTCTTGATCAACCAAGGAAACACTTCATCAAATATATGAAAGAGGCAAGGACTTTTTAAAAATCACATCTCACTTAAATTAACTGAATAAATTATTATAATCAAATAGTGATTTCATTTATAGTGGCTCTTAGAGATGCAATTTCAGAAAAATATTTTTAAAAATATCACAGCTGCAGTTTTTGGATTTGTTAAAGCCACCAAACAATATAGCAAGGACAGCAGGCCACCTACCCCATTTTGTGTCAGGGATCACTCTCTTTCTGGAGTAGTGATTTATTTGTACCAGAGTGTTTATCATCTCATCATCCCACAGGTCATCACTCAGATCCACTATAATGAGATCCTGTGCCAAGAAACACTAGTGATCTGCAACTAGCAAGTTTTTTTCAGTGTTCTTAGGGAAACATAGTTACAAACTCTGAGCAATAAATTTCACCAAAAGTGAGGGGCTGCCATTTTAGTAAAGTTGCTTAGGGTTCTATCCCCTCCAGTCTGCAACATACATTCTCTGTTGGGAGAGGCAAATTTCTGCATTTGAACCACTTACCCAAAGAAAATGATACAACACCTAAATCTTCCTAAAATTTAAAGAAATGCATAACTCTAACCCACTTACTAAATTAGCACTTAAATCCTACTTTATTTGAATGGGAACAACAGAAATAATGTCTTGTACTCAGAACTTAGCAATACGCAAAATATCAGTTGTTGACAAACGATAACACATTAGAAGATAGTTTTGGTGCAAAGTAATGCTTTCTTCAACAAGGTTTTGTTTTTGTTTTTTAACAAGGAGCTCTCATTCATTATTTAGTCCTTATTGAGATTAAAAACAAGAACATGGAATAACTATCTGACCTAACTCTTCATTTTATGAACTATGTATAATTTCACTCACCAAGCCAACAATGAATGTGGGCAGCATCATTCCATCCTCAAGCATAAGTATCTTCCTTCGGCGTATATCCTGAAAGTACAGGAAACTGCATTAAGAGGTGGTTCACTTCCTTCTACCAGTGCCTCTTAGCATACTACCATCTTTATACCTCAACTAAATGACGATACTGGTAGCAGCTGGGTAACATTAGACCCATAGTAATACAAAAACAAGTAAGTACTTTATCCTACTAAATCTTTGATTTCCTTTCATTGTCATCCATGCTTTAGTTGAAACTGCAATCTGGAAATTTGTAATCTTTATTCATCATCACTTTGATCCACATAGCATTGCTTCAGACTATGGAGCATTTTATCAAAGCCAAAAAAGAAATCCCCAACAAACCCCAAAATATAGAATTCCTTGAATTTATCCTTCCTCAGAGTCAGAAATAGCTGACCACAAGGAATGGTTCTCTGATCTCTGAAGATGCTGTTTATGGTTCAGATGGGGGGATTTACCTGATGAGGGTAGGATGCTGTCCCTGAGGATGCTGTCTATGCCATTAGCCAGTATACTATGTAGAGGTTGTTGCAATTTTAGTCAGTACACTTGGAAGTATTCTTAAATAGACTAAATAGAGATATGTCTCTATTTATAAACTACCTTATTTATAAAATAAAGAAAATATTTCCTTAAAGTGTAATGACGGAGTAAACATTTTCTAATGATGGGAGAATGGGGCATTTTGAGAGGGATATTTAGTCATCATTATTCTAGCAGAATATTTCCATATTTCGTTCAGAAAACTTTATATTATATAAACTGACAGAGACTTTGTAATTGTATGTGTATTCATATGTGCATGCATGTCCATGTGTTCTATGCGATGTAGGGTGGGAATTCCAGAATGGAAATTATGGAGATCATAGAGAAGTATTATAGGTCATGTGAGGTCCTTTGATTCTGGAGTTAAGGGATTTATAGATAAGCCAATTTTAATGGTCCATGTGAATGGGCTGCCTTCCATATAGCTTCCAAATATTTATCTTAATAATGTAGACACATAAATAAATAAATAATGTAGACACAAGGTTTCTTTTTTTTTAAGATTTATTTATTTATACAAGAACCAGGGTACAGGCCAGATTCACGGGAGGGTGAGAGAATTCACCAAAGACAGAGCAGGTAACAGAACAGGCAGACTGACTGAAATACACTGCTGAGGGGGAGCAGTGGGCACAACAGGAGAGGTCTGCCGTGCCATGTGGGACCCTCTGTTTAGCGGGGATCGAAAGAGTGCTGTAGAGGCTGCGGACAGCTTCACAGCGCAATGCTCAACTGCCTGCACCACCAGGGGAGGCCCTAGACACAAGTTTTCTAAACTGACTTTCATTTTTTAATCTTTTCAGAGATTGCTCACCTAGATAACAAAGCTCAAAACCCCTGATTACTTAGGAACAATGATATTAATGATGCCATTGAATTAAACTGCAGCTTCTACCTTACTATATTCTGACAGTCTGTGGTTTTCTAGACTTTACAACACTGGAATATGTCCAGGTTTTTGCTTTATTAGGGCACTTAGTCAGGAAAGACAGACTTGAAAGAAATTTTTATCTTAATAACTTATTTATAATCTCTGTTGTGTGTATATAATATCCATCTGTTTTTAATTTTTCACAATATCTTCCAAATTAATGTCACACACATATATAGCAAGAGAGAAAGAAACAGAGAGAGGTGTATCAATTACAGGTGACTTGTGCAAAGGACTCCTCAAAAACAAAATTAATAGAATGACTCTTATGGCAGGAGTAGAAAAGAATATGTTTGATTGTCAACCAGGATGATATCTTCATTCCCCACTTAAAATTTTCCCTAATTATTTAGCATTACTTCTTTTCTATCCTGACAAAATTCTCCCATTACTTTGATTTTCATTTAGATATTTTAATGTAGTTTTGCTTACATTGGAATAATATGTGTCATTTTGATTGCATGACAGATTTCCTTGAAATAATAGAAATAGATTCATTTTCAAGAATTTCATCAATGTTATCTTTGCCGAAGGGTAACACTCATTGTACTCCTTACAAAATTTCTTACAGCAGAGAGTGACATTATCAGCGTTTTAAAATTAAAAGTATTTTGTTCTCATAATTTTTTTTGGTAATCACTGAAAGAGACATGAGGCGCCCAAGGTAGAATTCATTTAATACGATATGCATTCCTTTCACATAAGTCTTATCAAGGTTACACAGCTTGCTGTTCTGTGAGACACTGTTGCTTAGTCTCATTAAAATAGCATTTAACTGGTAAGAGAGTGTCAAAAATGATAACATATTTTCATGTAGGTAATATTTTAAAATTTATTTTGTCACTTAGGTCACTAATACTATTTTGCAGTTCTAAAAACAATTTGCAAAAATAAATATCTTTTCAGACCTCCCTGGTGATGCAAGGGGTTAAGATGCAACCTATAAAGTTATCCACAGCCACTGCAGCAGGAGTTTGATCCCCAGCCAGGGAGAAACCCACATGGCGCAGCAGACCTCTCCTATCTCACCCGCTATTCCCCTCAGCAGTGTATTTCAGTTAGTCTGCCTGTTCTGTTCCCCACTTCGTTTCTGGTGAATCCTCTCACCTCCCACACTTCTGGCCTGTACACCAGTTCTTGTATGCATAAATAAATCTTTAAAAAATAAATATCTTTTCAATTCCTTTGTATTTCAATGGAAAATTGAAAGTAACACTTCTGGAGAAATAAAATAGGAATGGTTACGTTGTATAAGTAAGTAAATGAAAGTAATGGATAGACTAATATACATTAAATAATGATTCCATGCTTGAGATTTAAAATAAGGATATAAATTTAATGAAAGGGGATAAACACTTGAACCTTTCTAGATAAAAATTATAATGATCATACTAACACTTATCAGCCATGAACATAAAATATACCAATCACTTGCAAGTTGCTAAGAATTTCAAGGTAAGAAGAAATCAGAGTTGTTTTTTTCTTTTTAATTCTAATCACTTGTCTCAATGAAAAAGTCAATTAGTATGCATGATAATTTCTATTTTGTGTTGGATCACAAAATTTTATAAGGCAGAAAACTAAAGAGAGGTTTAGAGAAGGAAAATCTACCTTGTGGTATGATTTATATTTCAAGTTTCATTTATTCCACAAAGATTTGTTGAGCACTTACTAGGTGACAGGCACTGATTAAGCCTATGGGATGCCAGGATGCTCACGGATACGATGCATGTTACTAAAGAACTCAAATCTAATGCCCACATTTGCAAAGCAGTTCTGTGGTAGTAATGACCAAACCAGAAGAATAAACTAATGGAATGTCAATCTCAAACACTTTCAGGGCACTAGGACAAACAAGTTCTGCAATGAAAGTAGTGAGGATTACCCAGAGGAGACCTGGGCACAGAAAGCTTCACTCTTCATCAACACTCTGCCTTCTGGTCATTGACAAAGAGTTTTTCAGAGAAAAGTGTAAGGACTGTCATGTACACTTTTTCCCACTTTAATTCCCTGTTGAATAATATCTAATGTATAAAAGATTTATTTCTTTATGAATACAAGAACTGGGGTACAGGGCAGAGGTGTGGGAGCAGAGGGATGAGAGGATTCACCAGAGACAGAGTGGGGAACAGAACAGGTGGATCCACTGGAAAACACTGCTGAGGGAAGCAGCAGACGAAACAGGAGAGCTCTGTTGTATCATGTGAGTCATCTCCCTGGCCGGGATCAGACTCATGCTACAGTGGCTGGCAATGCTTGACAGTGCCGTGTCTTTAACCCTGAGCCACCAAGGAGGCCCCAATTATGTATTTTTAATGTTTAAATACTAAAGCAGTCCTACTAAAAAAGTTTTCCACTTCCAGGAAGAATCTCCAAAATCTGGAAACTTCTTAAAAATACAAATTCTATGGATGTACTCAAGAGCTATATAGTTAAAATCTCTGTGGTTATTCTCAGACATCTGATTTAACAAATTATATAATTTATTCTTCTGCATGCTAAAGTTTGAGTACTCCATAAAACATTATATATTAAGTATTGAATTAAAAATAAATTAAAATGAATATTTTCAAAATAATATATGAAATAGCTTGTTTGCCTTGTTTTAAGTCAGTTATTCTCTCCTTGTGAATTAATGCAATTTCTTATACATAAAACATCTGCTCTTTTTTCATAAGACTAACAATTTCATACATCTTGTGGTATCGCTGTTTCTTCAAGGATCTCAAAGTTAACATTGAAAGAAAAAAGCAGAAAAATAAAAAAGGATTTTTACTACCTATCTACAATATAGAATCTTTCCTTAAATTTGAACATTTTCTTTTAATTGAAAAATTTCACATTCTTGCATTCATATTAAAATTTGTAGTCATGGGCCTCCCAGCTGGGTTGCCAAGCTGCCTGCAGCCTCTGCAGTGCCAGTTCTATTCCCCAGCTGCTCCCCGGCCACCAGAGGAGGGTCCCGCATGGCGCGCAGACCTCTCCTGCCGCCCGCTGCTCCCCTCAGCAGTGTACTTCGGTCCTTCTGCCTGCTCTGCTCCCCGCTCTGGCTCTGGTGAATTCTCTCACCCTCCCACCTTCTGACTGTACCCAGTGCTTGTATAAATAAATAAATAAATAACTTTAAAAAAATAAAAAATAAAATTTCTAGTCAAACAGCACAGTAAAATGCTTAATTTCATTGATTTGGCATTTTGAACTATTCAAAAATGTTATTTTTCACCACTGACAAACAGTAAATATTGGCAGAGGGGAATATGGGAATATACTAAATTGGTAAAAATGTATTTTTTATTATGTCTCATACCATATATTGGTGTGCACAACATTTAATACTTCACACATGCTATGATTTGATACATGGGGCAGACATCTGCTAGTTGGAAGATGGCGATAACTACTATAATATTTACAAGGAAATGAATGTCATCTTCCCTTTTTTTAAAATTAGGAAAAGCATGACAAAATGTGGCTTTCACTATCAGGTTACTTTTGAGCTGGCAGATACTGAAAAAGAAATCATTGAATCCCTTCCAAAATGAAAGATTTT